TCACGTGCCCTGTTTGCTTATTCACTTGGGAAAAAAAAAAAAAAAAAAGTCATTTCCACAAATAGAATAAGGTTTCTTTCCAGTAGACAGAATTATAATGTGAAAAAAGAATTATAGTGTAAAATTATACTTACTGCCCACCACTATCATTTAAAAGTTAGCTGTTTCTGCATCCTTTGTATACATGGAAAGTTTACATGTGTGGCCATTGATGAAAACTGACTACAATATTTGGATTTCTTAGTGTAGAAATGCTGAGTAGAGCTGTGCTATGGCACTTACTTCTAATATTTATTTGAAATATAACCTAGACAACAAGGTTATCATCACATTGACTGCTATCACCTATAGCAGCAAATAATCTTCTTTATGTGTTGATCCAAAAAAGTGCAGAGTCATTCTGATCTTCCTTCCTAGAAGGTTTACAAAGGCTGGCAGTATCCAGCCTCTCCTTCCAGCAGTGCCTCGTGGCTTCAGACTGCAGTCTCAGTGGATGTTATGTGGAGCGATAAATGCAGATCAAATTCCTATGCCAAGAAGCTGACTGGTTGTGGCAGAAGCAATAACTAAACACTGAACAGGCATGCTTTGGTTAAGGAAACACTGAAGACAGACTGGTTTTCGTGCTTAAACAATCCTAAGCATCTTAAGTCAAATTTAGGTATGATGGTATGAAAGAGACCTCAGGAATCTGAACAGGATCTGCCTTGCAGCATTAAAACAGAGTGTACCCAGCACTCACATTAACATTTATTAATCCAGCCTTTAGACTTGTAAGGAGGAAGACTTTATGAACCTCTTGTATAGTGTGTTCCAGTGTTTAATGAACCTTGAAGAAAGAAATATTTGTTTTTTCTGGTGTCTAATCTAAATGGTGGGGTGTTGTGCAAATGAAAACATGTCCTTCTCCAAGTAGAAATGAGAAAGAATTGATTTCTGTCCTCTTCTTAATAACTTCTTTCATGTTGAATGTTGTTGACTTACTATTGAAGTTCCAGTCTATAGGAGGAAAAATTCCAACTAATTCAGTTTTTGCTTTTCATTTTTAAATAACAGATCCCTATTTGCTGGTTTTCTTCTCCAGGGTGTTCACCCTAATTTTTCAACTTTTTTTTTTTTTAAATGTCCCCACTCACATCAGGGGTCTGGAACCAGATGATCTTTAAAGGTCCCTTCCAGCCTTCCAGCCCAAAATCTTTCTGTGATCCAGTGAAAATACATGCCCATTTTCAAAACAGCACTCCAGTTTTCCTTTTTGAAGATACATACTTTGCTGCTTCTCTCCATTCTTCTTGGACCATCCCATCTACCTTCATTCTCTAAGATGACTTCTAACAGTTCTGAGATTGATTTGGCTTAACTTTTTAATTGATTCATTTCTCCAGGCTCTTCCAGCCTGAATAAGTTTAACTTAATCAAGTGGTCTTTAATCTGTTGTTTCACTCTTCTTTTTTCTATCCCTATTCTCTTCAAACTTATTTTAAATATCTGCTCACAATTAATCTTTTGGTTTTGAATTTGAGGCAGAAAAAACATTATTTATTTCCATCTTCTCTGCAGCCTCCCTTACTTGCTATCTTAACCTCACAAGTAATGGGATAAAAATTTCTCCTCTCTTTTTCTCTTAAGTAGTCATAGGCCATTGCCTGTCTGGCAAGTAAAAAATTGCAGTACTTCATTTATGTCATGTTAGTACCAGAGAAACTTGGCAGTTTTGACCCAGAGCCAAAGACCCTCTGAACCTTCCTAGAACTGCTCAGTGAACTTCACTCCACTGTCAGTGTTGTCAGTGACATAACAATGAAGCTGAAGGAGCAGAATTTTACAGAGTGAGTGTGGTGTCTGAATCATCAGAATTGTCAGATAATGTTCAGAAAAAAATGGATTTGTATCCTTGTTGGGGAAGGGGGCTAGACTTGTCTATGTGGGGAGAGCAACAGAGGCTGACTGGAAAATTTGGTATCCAAGTAATGGTGGGGGAAAACCAGTCAGGTAAAGATTTCTTTTTGTGGCAGCAAGGAAATTACTGCACTGTATTCTCCAGTATCTGTATTTGTGTGATAGAACTGAAGTTATTTTTAAAGGGGGATAAGTCGAAATTTCACATTTGTGTATTAACAATCCTAAGAAAATCGGTGCCAATTTTCATCCTCATAGAAGTTACAAATATCAATATTTTTTTCCTTAAGTTACTACTTGTTCTGTTTGTAAAAAAGTCTAGAGTTTAATTACAGTATTTTAATTTTCAATATTTTCACAAGTTTGTGCTTACTCATTAGTGCATACTCTTGAGTATTCCTTTATACATATGTTTGACAATATAAAGCTCCTTTCTATTAGTCATTGTATACCTACCCTAAGATTAAATGCACCCAGGAATTCTTCACTGAGACTGTGAGACGCTAACATTTATAAGTTAATAACAATAAAAACATGATAAAGACGCAACTGTGAACATAAACTTGCAGGAGGGCAGATAAGTGAGATTTTTGAATAAGCAGAGAAAAGACAATATTATTGTTAATTGTTGATAGAGCTGTTAGAGCATTGCTTCACCCAGCCTGGTGCTGGAGCACATCCAGAGAAGGGCGATGTAGCTGGTGAAGGGTCTGGAGCACAAGTCTGATGAGGAGTCACTGAGGGAGCTTCTCTACAACTCCCTGACAGGAGGTTGTAACCAGGTGGGTGTTGGTCTCTTCTCCCAGGTAACAAACAACAGGACAAGGGGAAGTGGCCTCAAGCTGTGCCAGGGGAGGTTTAGACTGGATAATAGGGAACATTCATTTTTCAAGCACTGAAAGAGGCTGCCCAGGGAAGTGGGAGAATTACCATCCCTGGAGGTATTAAGAGATGTGAAGATGTGGCACTGAGGGACATAGTTTAGTGGTGAACTTGGCAGTGCTGGGTCAGCAGATGGACTCCATGACCTCAAAGGTCATTTCAAACTTAAATGATTCAATGATTCCTATACCATTAAATTTAGCCTTGCCAGGACATGGGCACTGGAAGTGGTGACCAGCCCGTCTGGTCCACACACTGCAGGGTACTTAGGCACCTGCTTTAAGGAAAGTATAAGACTGTATCCAAGTCTCTGGATTCTGCAGCTTTACTCAGCTGAAGGAGCCAATTCTTTCTGCTTGGCGGTCTGAAAATGACAGTGTGCAATGACAGCTGTGCCTTGCAGACTTTGAACAACTCACCCTAGACTTGCCAGGGAATTCAAGGTCCCTCCTGAACTGAGATGCTGATTCATAAGAGAGCAGCATTTCCACGCAGGCCTTTTGCTAACTGCAAGACTTCTGTAGTACTGTATTTTTATCTTTCACTGGGGACACTGATTTGCAGTAAAGCAGGTAACATTCACAGAACCTGACAGTTTATGCTGTAATTTTCCCTGTCTAGAATGGCTGTCAGGAGTCTGCTTTGGGCAACATAAGCAGCTGTATAAATCCCAAACAATTTAAATCTAAAGACAAACTCAACAGTCCTTTAGTTGTACATACTTGATTATTTGCAAATCTCCTGTTGTCATATTTCTGCTTTCGATACAAGAAAATTGCCTTTGTGCATGCTTTGGTTCATGTAATTCTTCTGCTACAGAAAGTGAAGGCCCAGAAACAGAGGCAATTTGCTTCTACTTCTTTTCCTGGTCAGTAGTGTGTTTCCTTACAATGGCCAGAATTTTGTCAGGGCTTGATCCAAAGTGCAGAGAACTTTCTCCTCTGAACCTAAATTTGTGGTTTTATTTGTTGTCCAAACTTTATTTTGAAAGCCAAACCATTATGGCTTTTTTTGAATGTTAGTTTTTATATTTTCCCACCAATTGAAATTCTCCAATGGAGGGAGGGGCAAATGTGTATATGTGTATGTATATATATTTTTTCAACATATACATTTTATGAATGTGTATATATATTTAATATCTTTACTAGTTAAACCTAAACTAAACTAGTTAAACTAATAAGATCAGCTTCTGATCTTTGTTACCATTCTGTCACAAAGTTTAGTAGCTTTAGACTTCATAGACTGTGACTGTGATAAGTAAAATGAAAGTAAGTATGTATTGATCATTAATTTATTAAAAAATCATACCCCTGAAATACTTCTTAGGGTGGAATATGAAGTAAGAATGTGTCATGGTCTGACTTTTCTGACTGTCCTCTCACGTGAGCTAAGGGAATTCCTTGTCACCAGGAGGAACTCTGGATAGCTGAGAGAGAAACAGAGGGAGTTATAATCACAGAAAATAAACCCATATGTTTTCTAGACAATGAACATGGACCAATGACTTAGCCATTATTATACTCTCCATCATTACCACCAGCATGTCAACTTTCATATAGTGTGAAAACTTGTGTACTACCACTGAGAAGTTCCAATTTCACTCAGCAGGCAGAGAATTACGATACAAATTATTCTGGTTATTTCTACTTACAGTATAATTTCTCCTTCATCCAGCATGAAGAACCAAGATGTTCCCTTCTCGATCACACCCACTCATTTCTCAAACCAACGCCTTTAATTTATGCTCTTTGGAAGAAAATGTTGTTACTTGTATTTTTAAGTGTTTCAGATTGAATCCCTTGAGCCTTGAAAGATGTAGTGGGATGCCACAAGGAATTTCAAGAATGAACCCAAGGCTTGAACCAAACTTCATGTTCTCCTATATATGCAGTCCCTTTGGGAACTAATTCAATGTCCATTAAAGTAAAAGAATGTCTTTTAAAGGGCATTTCATACTTTCTTTTCTGAGCATAAAGAGTCTCAGAATATCAGGTTCGTTAATTTAAGCACCTACATATGAATTCTGGTATCCAGCTTTAGACAGACTATTCACAATTTTCCATTTGTTTAACTGGTGACCAAAAAAAAAAAAAAAAAGAACAAAACTTAGCTGACAAATATTTTTACTGCTGGAGGACGAAAAACCTGCAGGATGACTGGATCCTCCCTCCCTTTTATATATATGCATATGTATACACTTTGTTTTCTCATTTCAGGTCATGGAACCAAAGGAGTGTTCGAACTTCTTTCAGGATGGCGTCGAACCAGAGAGAATCTGCCATTCAAGGACCGGGTAGCAGATGCCTACTCAGATGTCATGGTCTCCTACACAATGACAAGCTCCTTGTATTTCATAGCCTTTGGCATGGGTGCAAGCCCTTTCACCAACATCGAAGCTGTAAAAGTCTTTTGCCAGAACATGTGCGTCTCCATCCTGTTGAACTACTTCTATATCTTCTCCTTCTTTGGCTCCTGCCTGGTCTTTGCTGGCCAGCTGGAGCAGAACCGTTACCACAGCATCTTCTGCTGTAAAATCCCTTCAGCAGAGTACCTGGACCGGAAACCTGTGTGGTTCCAGACCATGATGAATGATGGCCATCACCACACTTCCCACCACGAGACCAACCCATACCAGCACCACTTTATCCAGCATTTCCTCCGAGAGCACTACAACGAGTGGATTACCAACATCTACGTCAAGCCATTTGTGGTGATACTGTATCTCATCTATGCCTCTTTCTCCTTTATGGGGTGCTTACAGATCAGCGATGGAGCCAACATCATCAACCTTCTTGCCAGTGAGTCTCCAAGTGTCTCCTATGCCCTCATACAGCAAAAGTATTTCAGCAACTACAGCCCAGTGATAGGCTTCTACATTTATGAACCTCTGGAGTACTGGAATGGTACTGTGCAAGAAGACCTAAAAACACTAAGCCAGGGGTTCAATACAGTGTCCTGGATTGAACAGTATTACCAGTTCCTTCGGGTGGGTAACATCAGTGCAACCAACAAAAGTGACTTTATCAGCATCCTTCAGAGCTCCTTTTTAAAAAAGCCAGAATTCCAGCACTTCAAAAATGACATAATTTTCTCCAAAGCTGGAGATGAGAACAACATAATTGCTTCTCGTTTGTACCTTGTGGCCAGGACTAGTGAAAATACACAGAGGGAAGCAGTGGAATTGCTGGAGAAGCTGAGGCCCCTCTCTCTTATACAGAGCATTAAGTTCATTGTGTTCAATCCTACTTTTGTTTTCATGGACCACTATGGTTTATCAGTAACTATGCCTGTCCTGATTTCTGGTTTTGGCATCCTGCTGGTGTTAATACTGACCTTTTTCCTAGTTATCCATCCTCTGGGAAATTTCTGGTTAATTCTCAGTGTCACCTCAATAGAGCTGGGTGTCCTTGGCTTGATGACTTTATGGAATGTAGACATGGATTGCATTTCTATATTGTGCCTTATTTACACTTTGAATTTTGCCATAGATCACTGTGCACCCCTGCTTTATACATTTGTACTCGCTACTGAGCACACCCGAACTCAGTGTATAAAGAACTCCCTCCAAGAGCACGGGACAGCCATTCTGCAGAACGTTTCTTCTTTTCTTATTGGGTTGGTCCCCCTTCTCTTTGTGCCTTCAAACTTGACCTTCACACTGTTCAAATGCTTGCTGCTTGCTGGCAGTTGCACACTTCTGCACTGTTTCGTTATTTTGCCTGTCTTTCTAACCTTTTTCCCACCTTCAAAAAAGCACCACAAGAAAAAGAAACGGGCCAAAAGGAAGGAACGAGAAGAGATCGAATGCATAGAGATTCAGGAGAATCCTGATCATGTTACAGCAGTCTGAAAGGTTTAGAAAAAAATAATAGTATATTCTCTTTTTAAAAAAGTGTTGCACAGAGATGCAGGGAAAATAGAGCAAAGATCTCAGCTGCTTGTGCTGGCCAGGCAAGGCAAAGGAAGATCAAGAAGGGGTATTCATGACACCTCAAGGTGCAAATTTTTTTAACAAAAATAATGGAAGTAAAATAATCTCAAATGTTTCCTTTGAATCCTCATTCTCCACCAGGGAAGAGGCTGTTGGTCATTAAGTGTTCCTGAATCTCAAACTGTAGCTCTAATGGGAATTGCTTAATTTGTCTCATGTAAGCCTGAAGCAAAGGTGAAAAAAAAATAGTTGCCATTAAGTACACAGGAGGGAAAAAGACAGATTATTTTGATTAAATTGTCCATGGAAGAGAAAAAGAAACATTTCAAATGAGAAAAGGTTACAAGACCAAGTGAGATTAAAAATGCCATGGCACTCTTTTTCACCAACCTATGCACTTGGGAAGTAAATGTTTAAAAGACTCTAAGCCAAAGTACTTCCCAATTCCAGTATACCATATATATCTGTAACACCACAATTAGAGCATTACTGCAAATAAGGTTGGCAAAGCTAAGGGATAGAGGTACTGTTTATATAGGAGAAGAAATAAGCATAGCCATTTGGAAATTTAATGTTTAGTTCCTTTAAATGTAACATATTATTTTTATCCCTAGGTCACAAGTTAATACCATACACACATTTTGGTATTTCTGAATTGTGAATTTCCCCTTGAACTAACAGATCTCACAAAACTAACACAGGCCATCACCACTGCAGAACTGTTTGCAGTTCCTGCAGTGTAACACTTTTGAATTCTAATTTATCAGTGTTGACATGAAATACTGGGTATTAATCAAGCAGGAGCTTTAAACGTAGTGATGGATTGCATATCCCAGGCATAACGTGATCGGGTATCAGCTGAGTCAGCTCTGGAGCACCTGCACAGTATTATCACTATATAATTGGTCCAATGGACGAAGGGATATGTTTGCTGGTCCCTGCAATGTGCTGCAGGAAGTGGGATTTTCCCCTTCTTTAAACAAAATGTCAGTCAAATAATTGCCACACACACACGAAAAAAAAAAAAAAAAAACCAGCCTTGTAAAGGTTTGCACGGGGCTGGATCAACAGCTAGTTCTAAAAAGACAGATTGGTCCCCTGTGGGAAGGGGAGGGTAAAATGTCTTTTTTATTATTATTCCTAAATATTTGAGTGTTCATCATCTGCAACATAAAGCTTTGTTATGGCAGTTGAAATTTCACAGGAGAGTGCAGTAAATCCACAGTTACTCCGTGATGCTAGAAATTGTACTGTAAAGGACTATGAATGACTTTCTCTGCTTTGTAAACTATTCAGCTTAGTAGCCCAAGAGAAGGGATCAAAACAGATCTAGCCATTTCAGTTTGCTCTCAGCCCAGTGCTGCACTGGACCTTGCCATGTCGATCTCTCCTTTTAGTATTTTAAAAGGGCTTGCTTTCTACTCTCTGGAATATGGTATAGCATCACCTCCATGAGCAATGTCTTCCTGAATCTATAGTATCCATGAGGACACTATGTAAAGATATCACTATATGGAGTGTTTATGTCTACTTTGTATTACTTGTGGGTACCTTTAAAAGATTATCTGGAAGCTGTTTGCCTTCCAAAATGTGTATACATGTCTATATGTGGCTGACAACTCAGTCTCAAACCCGCAGAGTTCGCTGATGAGGGTGTGTACATATGTTTTACTAAAAAGCTCTCTGCAAGACATTAATTCTTTGCTATGTGATATGTCTCACCTCTTCCTACTGTTTTGTGATTAGGGAGAGCCAGAAAAAATTCACCTGCAGCACAAAGAAAAGCCATTTGAATGCCAGTTCTAAAGTTCATGAGCTGCTTCTCTTTCCAAGGAATGCAATTTCACCTCCTCTCTATCCTTTCTGTACTTTGCCGTTACCATTTGCCAAAAATGACCTCTGTGTTTTAGGAGTGGTCAAAGCTCTTCATTGTTTGAGGAAACTTTTGATTGCAACATGTGTTAAAGAAAGGTAAACTTTCTAGACAGGAAAAGCTTCCAAAGTTTCAGGGTAGATAGATCAAGGTTACTGGTTTGACCCAAAATATTCAAGGGCCAGCTGCAAAACTGAGATCTAAGTAGTTTAGTAAGATTTAGGAGCAGGGGATGTTTTAATGTTGGGTTATGGCTTGTCTCTAGCTGGGAAGTATTTACTGACCCTGATTTGCATCTTGAAGGCATTGTGCAATATCCGCCCTTTTTAGAACAGTCCATTATGAATGTCAAGCTTCCCATTTCCTCCACTGTCCTCACAAAACCTGGGTTGTTGTAGCACTGTGACCCTTGGTTATCACTTCTGGAGCTGTCGCCTGGAAATTCCTGGTCTTCTTTTGTACTGCCAGGTGTATCCCAGGGATGTCTGTCATGCATCGTATTGAGGAAAATAGCACTTTCCAAAGCCATCAAAGCCAGGATTCATCTCCTCTAACTTCAGATGTTGGTAATGTAAATATTTATATTTGAACTTCCTTTATGGCCATAAGAGAGGGACAGACACTTCTGATCCATTTTACAGCTGTGCATTGGGAGCAAACAAATCACACTTTTTAAAATGCAGATTTCTGTCCATTGGTGATCAAGGAAGCTCAGCACAATTAGTTCAAACATAGACATCGGAAATGCAGGCTCATCCACAGCTGGTGAGATTAACCCTGCTTAAAATGACCAAATATCAAGTGAAAGAGCAAAGATGAAAGCCGTAGAAACTTGCCTCCCAAGATTCTATTTTAGGCATACATCCCAGGAGTAAATCAGATTAAATTTTATGTTTTGCTTATGAGGCTTTTATGCAGAACAGAATGTTTAAAAATTGCCCCTGGCATTCCCCTAGGAGAGAATGGTGAGCCAAGAAATCAGATGTCAATATTGAAGGTGGGCTCACATAAATGAACTAGAGTTTGATGAAGTGTCAAACCAGCTCCTCTCCATATAATGCATGTGCAGGAGCACTTGTGTAACAGACACCAGAACTGGGACTAGAAGCTTTTTATTTCCATGCCAGTGCAGGAGTAGAGAAGAAAACAAACCAGATCTTCCATGGTTGTCATTTTGTTACTTTTTACCAACCATTTCCATAACTATCAAAAAAAGGCCAGTGCAGCTGTTACTTCTGTAGATATGTTGGTCTCTGTGGAACAACGAAAGCTTTCACTTCAACCTAAAAATAGATTATTTTCTTCTATAACCCAGTTCACACTGGAATAATTTTGGGATGGATAGTCCACATTATTTAATTCCTTTTCCCTTTTTTTGCTTATTTTTCTTTCAGTCCTTTTAAAAAAGTTGTACCTTTTTCTATAGCACCTTTCCAGCTCAACTGGAGCTACATCTGTGAAGAAAGAGCATAGCTCAAGCAAAGGAATATGACCCTATGATACATGCTGCATATTTTTTCCCAGTTATTGTAACTCCCCTGCAATATTGCACATATTTCTTTAATGTTTGACTTTATATATGGTCTAGATAATCTGCCAAGAACCCTTTATGTATCTCCTACTTGGTTTGGTTTCATTTCCTCGAAGTATATTGGTTTGAATTCATTGTTGAGATAACTGTGTTCAAGTCAGCAGATTTATTGCCATGATATATCTGACTTTGCATGCTTTCTATCTGGTAAGAAGTGAAATCATGACAAATGATCCTCTTACATTGTTGATATGCTTGTTGAACAATATATCTGTCTATACTCCATAGCCACTGTTGCATGCTGCATTCAGGAGGCTGCAGTGAAGGTATATTTCTTGACACTTTCCTCTGTGGACTACTTTAACCTTGATCTATTCATTGTCTTTTTTTTTAGAGTTAAGCCTTCAGCTCTATAGCACAGTACTTGATATAGATTTGGATTAGATATTTGGCAGAAATTCTTTGCTGTGAGGGTGGTGAGGCCCTGGCACAGGTTGCTCAGGGAAGCTGTGACTGCCCCATCCTTGGAAGTGTTCAAGGCCAGGTTGGATGGGGTTTTGAGCAAGCTGCTCTAGTGGAAGGTGTCCCTGCCTGTGGCAAGGGGGTTCAAACAAGATGATCTTTAAGGTCCCTTCACACCCAAGCCATTCTATGATTCTACATTTTGTAAATTTATTGCCTAACTAAGCATCATAATTTTTATGGCCAAGATAGGTATGGATTCATGGCACCTTGCATGCATAATTTAAAGAGATTATCTCCAGGGTTATTGTTCTCAACCTTTTACTTCAAACAATTTCTCTTCAGAAAGTTAATATCTATTCAAGTTCCTTGAACAAGTATAGTTCTGAAATTTTCTCCACAGGGAAGAAAAGAATCGGGGGGAAGGAAGAAATATGCAGTTAGGTAGTTGTGTAATCAGTGTTCTTTTTTCCCCAAAGGCTTTCACTGCTCTACTCTTAATTAAGTCACACTGAGTAGTGACTCTAGCATAATTAAGATTTATTTCAATGGAGTTATTCCATATTTCATTGTGACAAGAGCTTGGCTTATTGTCTTTATGCAAGTACCATGCTAAGTCTCTGATTAATTTTTCAGTAATTATAAACTTTAATAAGTTATTTTTCATTGCAACACTAGGTTTTTGAGTACCTCAAGCTCTCGTTTGACGTTCTAGGAAACACTGTAAGGAAGCAAAGTTAGTCAGTCAGTGAGCAAGAGATGTTGTAGTGTTGCCTCTTCACAAAGAGGCAGCATATACTCCAACAAGGCTTTAAATAAAAAATGATGCTCAGGATATCTCAGAAGATTAATGTGAAGCGGAAACCAAGTGAAACCTTGTTGGGAGGGTAGTGTAGTCAAATCATGGACAGCCAAAAGTTGGATTTTTCGTCCAGAACTTCTTACACAAGCAAGAAGACATTTGAACAGGGAAGGAAACTGAATACAGAAAGCAGCTCATCCACCACTTAAAATCATTCATTTCACTGCAGTCTTGCATAAATAACGTCACAGACCAAGTGAGTCCAGGTTGTCCCACCTCAGCATGGACCTCTCCATGTCCTGTTTTCCATGTACAGCAAGTAAGGGATTCCATCTTGGGTTTCACATGCCCTTGGGGAGGAGATTCAGAGCTGCTTCCTTGCCTGACAGAATTGTATGTGAATGAGAGCTGAAAGATGAACACCACACTGCAAGCACAGGTACTGAATGCTCCCTTTGTTCTCTCCCCACCTTCTCATGAGCAGCAACACCATGAACTCCTGGTACCAACCTCACTAAGTGCCAGCATTTGTAATTTCCCTGGGAGAAACCTGGAATTTGTGATCACAAGCTGTTCACAGGCTGACACAAGCTGATAGATCTCTGATCAAGAAGACTTCAGGGATTTTTTAGAGGTGTTCTTTGAAAGATACCCACTTTTCACTATAGCCCCATCCCTCACCTCACCTGCCCAACACTGGAGAGGTGAAACTTCTTCTGACATGGTAGGCAGGTAGAAGAAAATTTTGTGGAATCTTTTGCTTTTAATCCTCAAGGCTTTTCCCACACTCTTTTTTTTTTTTTTTTTCTCAAGCGTTTCCCCATCTGTTTCTGCTTCCTTCATGGCTTAAAAACAAAGTCTCCCATGCAAAATTTGGATGCTCATCCTACCCATAGTGATGTGAAACATCATTGCTTAACCACGAGGTTGAGGTGGGTTATTGGCTTTCAGGCCAAATACAGGGATTTGGCTTCCTAGCCCAGACAGGCAACCAAAACCCTGCTGAAAACAAGCAAATGTGAAGCAGTTCTGAACTTCATCTTTCCTAGTTCTCTTTGTTTTCTCGGTGACATATCGAGGTGTCCACAACACTATTCTCATTTTTTTCCTGGCTCCTCATTAAAAAAACCAGCTTCTCTTTCCCACTCCCTGAGGCTATCTTCCCTTTGCAGCTTCACTTATTTTGTCCTTTATTCTTCTCTGTGTGCTCTCAACCTCTTCAAAATTTCCCTATTTATATTTGAAAATTATGAGAGCATAACTCTGTTGAAATAAATGGAAGATGCCTGGATGCTTTTAAAGTGCAGACTGTGGTACAGAACTAACTAATTTATAACAGTGCCCAAATAGCTAAATACTTTCTTCAGACAGAAAACTGTCTGTAAGAAAACTTGGAAAATAATTAAGCCTAAATTTCCATTTTTTATCTCATAAACTTCTACTTCTTATGATTCTTTTACCCTAGGCATTTCTTTTTTTTCCAGCATGCTTTTATCATGGAAATGCCTGGTTTTTTCTCTGCTTTTCTCTCTCAGCAACAAAAATAAATGGACATTTCTTCATACCCTCAAAAATAAATTATTGCCCCCGCTTGGAACACTTTTGTGACAATTTTCTGTCCAGAGCATATTTTCCAGCCTGAATTATACATACCCCTGGAAACAAGCATTCCAGTGAAAATGCTGATACAGCCTTGACCAGAGAAAAATGATTGGTACATCAACAATGTCCTGCTTAACTTCAACCCCCCTGCATCAGCCTGCTGGATACTCCAGGAAGTATTCCTATTTTGGATTGCTAATGGTCTTTTCCTCATTACTGGCACCACTGTGTGGACAATATCAGCTGTATAGTTCTCCTGAACACCCATCAGTCTACCCCGCTTACATTGTAAAATCATAAATAGATTGGCACAGCTTTTGCTGGAGATTGGATCTATCCCAAGCTAAGGCAGCGGGGCAGCCTCTACTCTAAAACTACGTCTCAGTTTCCCATCTGTATGTAGGATATTGCACAGTTCCTCTGTAAAGGACAAAAAGCGTCACTTTTCTTTCAATAAGCCGTTTGAGGCTTATAGGACATGAAATCTTTTAGATTTAGTCACGGATAGAAATTTTTACATAAGAATTTGAATTAAGATGTCAATTGAATAGAGTAAAAGTATCCATGAATAGAGAAATCTTAGTCCAAAACATCTTGCAATTCTGGCATGATACTTCTCTGATCTTATTTCCTTTCATCAATAAGGACTGAAGTTTTTTCACACTTATCACACTGAAGATAATCCCTGACCTACAAAAACATCCTGTCTGCCAGCAGACATTCTCTTGGAGGAAATCCCATTGGTTTCAACTCCATGTCAAGAGAGATTTTGCAGCATCTGGCATAGCAGTGGTGTTAGTATGTACCTATCAAGACACAGACCCTCCTTCCTGACAAGCAGACCCAAACACTAAATGTGTGGGATTTGTGGGATGTGTGATTTTGCCTCTATAGAAAAAGAAAGTTTGTTGTAAAATTCAGTTCTGATTTTACCATGAGATGGGAAAGCAAAGAGTGACCAACGTTATCAGCCTAACTGCAGTTACTGTGCCTGTGTGAGAACTTCAGAGAAGGCTTATCTAGCTATGAAAGCCTAAGCAGTGACAGTATCTTGCTCTGAACAAGAATTTGTTCTCTACTCACTACCTCAGAGAGCCACACGTGTAAAACTACTCTGTTCCTGACCAAACCTGATCTAAGTCCTGGGCACAATGAAGTCAATTGAAGCATAGAACTTAGGGTGCACATTCTTAAGGCCAAGTGATTCCAGGTTTTGTAATGACACAGGTATTTAATTTAATGACACTGGAATTTAATCTTCAAAATTATTATCTAGAGAAGTCCCTGGCACAGCTTTGCTCCAGAAAAACATCTCTCTCCCCAGCAATTCTTGGGAACAGTCTGGGTGCTGGCACAGCCCAGGGATCATTCCCACCAGACAACTTGTTTACAGTTGCTCATTTTTCAGGCCACAGGAATGTTTTATAATATGGACAGTGACAGAACACATCAGCCTCCTTTGGGACTGCAGAGCAATCCTGACATTGCCTGATTCACTCCCAAAGTTATAACTTTAGACAGCAATGCAGCCTATATTCATGGTGGTATTTTACTTCTGAATATCTTCATCTGGCAAAGCACTCAAGTAAATGATTTAGTTTAATCAAATTCTTCATTCTCATGGACTGGGACATCGTTAAATTTAAGCATATGTTTAAATACTGAACTAAATAAGAATGCACTTATCTCTGTGCTTCAAGTTAAATAGGAGCTTTGAAGAAAAAGAGGTCTTAAAAGAAAAGGTCTTTTTCCCATAACATACTAAATCCTACAATTATAGTAGCAATTTCACAATATATAGAAAAACTGTGCCAAGCACATATATTTTTCAGGGTTTCAATTTCCCTGATGTAAGACATCTCAGGGACATTTTAGTGATTTGTTACAGTCATACAACATTCAGGCAAGAACAAAGTCTTGCTGAGCACTTTTCCTGGAAAAAAATAGCAAGATATTTGACTCAGAATGAGAATACAGTATTTTATGACATTAAAGCTCATTTTTAAAAGAAAAAATGAAACTTTTCATTTAATGTAATTTATTATTTCTTACAAGTGACACTCTGGAGAAATGCTAGATATGCCTCTATTATGGATAAGAGAGGAAAACTGCTTGATGAAGTTAAATCCAGGTTTGCCAATTAAAAAATAATTAAAAAAAAAAAACCAAAGCTGGCTTTGTGCCAGTGTAAAATTTTCTGTGGCATCATCTGCTGCTTTTTCATTAAATTAAATGTGAATGGTGGCATAAATGGGGCAGAAGTGGAAATCAAACTGTACATGTCCTGGGGCTGCGTCTGGTAAGGAACACTTACATACACCAGGAAAAGAAATTGAGCCCCCACTCCTGCAAAACCAGATGCAGCTGCCAAGCCATAAACATTGTGAATAATCCCATTGGCTTCAATGGAGCCATCAGGATGCACATAAAGATTTGCCCCTAAGTCTTTGCCAGTCTGAGGACTGGGATAAACTGATATTCTAATTTGAAAAGGAAATAGAAGTCCCTAAGCCAGATATTTCCTCAGTGTTCTTATCTGTGCTTTTTCCAAGAACCATGCTTTTTAAAAACTTTTCCTGAAAACATAAATTCAATAGATACACAGGCAGTATAAACATTTAAGAGGCTCACGACAAACAGTGTCTTTTCATGAAACAAGCCTTCCCCTGGGATGTCTGTAGCCAGTACTTTATGGAAGCACATGATCAAATGGAAAGGGACATGTAAAAATCAGATATTAGAGGTCTCCCCTCCTAGGCTATTGTCAAAGGAGAGAAACATGTACTACAATTCACGGAGCTCAGACAGTTACTTTAGAATGAGGACCCTTGCACACGCCTGGCAGCAGAGACCAGAGCTGGTGAATAGTCTGGGATAACCAGTTCATACACTTGAGGGCACGTGTATAAAGTGGGGTCAGACTAATCCCTCTGAGGCATCTCCATTCATTGTAACTGCGGGGAAAATGCTGAGAAGTAATTTTGGGGTGATGGGCAGTAATCAGTTTGACTGTTCACTTTGTTTGTTGGGGGGTTTAAGGTGGGTCATCAGGGCTCCAGGAGGGCAGCTGAATGACTGGAGCAGTACAAACAATGCAGCTGTAGGCAGCCAAGAGTCACTACAAAAAGGACTGAATCAAGCAAATTCTCTAGGGAAGATGCAGGTCATTTTTTCTCCAACTGTTATTTATTTCCATTTGCACCTTATTTAAATGTAATGCTTATTACGTTTGTTTTTTTTTTAGCCAGTAATGGTCAGCCTTTCTACCTCCCTTTAAGCTGCAGAACTTGCTTAACCTTTTTTTAATATGAATTTAGATTAGATGTTTAATTAGTGGGATTTCTCAGGTGTAGGCAACTTTACTATGCTACAAATAAACACCATAAGTCAATATTGATTTTCCTCCCTAGTAAAGCTCCCTCGTTGCTGGAAACTGTTAATATTTTTCAAGGTTCTACCACAACCATATTTGTACAAAGCCTTTTACTGAGCTTGAAATTCTATACCAAATACTTATGTCTTTTAAAGACTGAAATCTTCAATAAAACATGTTACTCATAAATATTAGAATTTTCCCTTTCTTCAATAGAAAGATATTGAGTATTAATCCATATTACAGGACCATTTTTCCCTTACACTTAGTTTTAGAGGAAATGAACAGGTTTCTTAAAGACAAAATGTGGAGCTAAGACTTTGGGCAGCAGCAGGAACTGGCACATCCATCCTCACGGGAGGAGCAGGGCATTTCAGGACTCGGGAAGAGTAGGTCAGAGGCAGGAAATTGGCAAACCTGAGCTGGCATATGGCCCCTAACAGACTATCTGCAGATAGACAATTTACAGGTGCCCTGAAGCTATGCTACATGCAAGCAAATGTTTCAGTTCTCCAGACAGAGCTGACCACATAATGGTCTCCCTAGAACATAATCCAGTTCCATTCTTCGCCAAACACTGATGCCAACAGATCCTTTCTCACCAGGTTTTCTCTTGCTTTCTCCTTCAGGCTTCTCCCCCCTCCTCACAACCCTGGTAGCTCTCAGCTCCTCTTCCCACAGTGGCAGAGTTGGGATTTCAAGATCTTCCCATGCAAAGGCATGGGGCATAGTTTTCCCAGGTTTTCTCGACTATCTCTGGGAAGGCCAAGGGCACCTGCCCACATTGCACCCAGCACTGCCCCGTGGCTGGGAGATCTACCCCTGCCTCTGTGCAACCACTTCTCTTGCCTTTGACAGTACATGATGGTACCAGCATGAGCATCTCTCAGATCCTTGAGTAAATAGTGAGCTCAAAAGGACACGTTAAATCATGTATTTTACATTTTGTCTATCCAGTGCGAATGGGAAGCTTTGGGGTTTGCCTTGAAGTCTCTGTTGTATCCTGAAGTCCTGGTCCGTGGGACCCTGTTCAGGTAGAATGTACTGGACTAAAACTCTGTCTTCATCCATGTACTTGGTTACCTTTCAGGTGAAAACAGGCAGAAAACAGAGAGCAGGAAGTTCTACCTGAATGCGAGGAAGAACTTATTTATTGTGAGGGTGACTGAGCACTGGAACAGGTTTCCCAGAGAGGTTTTGGAATCTTCTTCTCTTGAGATATTAAAAAACCATCTGTACATGATCCTGAGTAATGGGCTCTAATCCCCACCCTGATTGAGGGTGGTTTACTAGATGTCCTCCAGTGGTCCCTTCCAACCTGAACCATTCTATGATTCTGTGTGAAAAGGAGGGGATCAGAAAACATGACCTTGCCAGTCAGAAATAACACCTGACCCAGGATGTAGGTCTGTCCATCTTTGTCAGGTTATTTTCTACAGATACACCGTTTTTCCATTTCTAAATCAATTACCATTTCCCCAGGTGAGTTTTCCGGCTAGTGGCCCCAAAAGACACTGAAGAACAACGACATTGCTAGAAAACTGCTTCTATTGGTTTTGCTGGAAAACTCCCTTGGTGAAAGAGACAGGTTGTCATCTCACATGGTAAAGGAATATCTCTATTGTGTTTTTGAGCTGCTAAACATCTCCAGTGCCAAATATGGGTAATAACAAGGGCAAAAAAAGCATTCTGGTAGAATTATACTGAGAGTGTTCATCTGAATTGCAAGAAATCACGGAATTACTTCAGTTGAAATATTGTTTGTCATCAAAATTGCATGGTTGATGTTGCAAATCACTAGTCATAAGACAGTAATTTTCCAAGTTTCTATCTAGAAATTCAGGACTACCAAATGCTGCAGCCTACACAATACACACCCAGTTGTAGCGATGTATCTGTGCTGGTACCATGTCAAATGCCCTCCTGTCAATCTGTTGCACAAGCTCTTATGGAAATCAAGCTAATTACAGCTTACCAGAGTGGTTCCTGCATGTACAGCCAAACATCTCAGCTGATATAAGTCAGCCTGAATCATATAGCCGCCCATGAAGCACAGTTTCTTACCTGCTGGGGACTTTGTCTTCAGATTTCTATGTCTGACTTAAGGCTTTTCTATCAAAACCATTTAACAAACTACTTTACTAAGGTTGTCATAAGACTTTCTTTCTTTTTCTTCCATTTTTTCTTTTTGTTTCATTTAACTAATTTGGTCTAAAGTAAACAATCTTCTCCATTCTTCTTCTGTCAGATTTATTTGAAGGGAAAAAGAATTTTCCTTGATTATATCACAGCTACTTATATAGCCTTACTTGGGAGACAGAGTTCACATCAGCCAAGGTGAATGAAGCAGAGAGCCACTGATGCTTCAGAGGCTCTGGCTTTGCATGAAACCAGAAATCAACACTATATAGTGGCTTTAAACTGAAAGACAAAAGTTTTGAATTAGGTATTAGGAAGAAAATCTTCCCTGTGAGGGTGGTAAGGCACTGGTACCAAAGTTGGTGCCAACAGCTTCAAGGCTGCCCATAGAAGCTGTGGCTGCCCCATCCCTGAAAGTGTCCAAGGCCAGGTTGGATGGGGCTTTGAGCAACCTGGTCTAGTGGGAGGTGTCCCTGCCCGTGGCACGGGGGTTGGAACAAAATGATCTTTAAGGTTCCTCCCACCCAAACCATTCTATGATTCTATGATTCTGTTTCTTCTGGCCTGAGCTGGGTGCTCAAATTTCTACTTGTGTTAATTCTGTGCTAGTTTCACTTTCATAAACGGGGATGCAAATTTGACCCAAAGTTACAGAGATATCTGAGAGAATGAAAGAGCTTTTTTCACTGTATTCAAAGGAATAGTTCAGAAACTTCACAGATTGCTGTGAGTGAAAGAAGGTAGCCCAGAACTGAAATTAAATTCTCCTCCTCATTGCCAAGGACAGAGAAAAATTTGGCAAAGATTTCTGTGCATGTTGCAACTGAAATTATTTCAACCACCAAGGCCCTAAACCTGCTGAGCTCCTAGAAAAGGGTAGTCTATATCTGGCTGTAAGTAAGTTATCCCAAAGGCTTGGGAGTGTGTGCAAGTTTGGTAGTAGCCATAACATGATAAGGGCTTCTGCAAATATGTTTGCTATAAAAATTAGAGAAACGTTCAACATGATTTTTGGAAACAAATTTCACTTCCAGGAGCTCTCTGGCCATGGGAAGTTTCACTCCTTCCCAGCCTAGATTTGGACTGGGAACTTTTAACAATTAAGAAAAATAAATGACAATGTGTCTTTCAGAGGCAGGTCTGATATACTGGCTGCAGCGTCTCTTGTTTGTAGCTGGTCACTATAAAGAAGCAGCAATTATTGTTCTGGCAGATAAAGTCACTTAGTTGAAGATACTGGGGTTTTCTATTTTAGCTTATATTGGTACTTGTGCTGCCCTCCAGTGATTTGCACAGTTGTTCCAATCTGTATTCTAGACTTCTGTAGAAGTTAATTTCTGGTCTTTGCTCAATTCACACTGAAAAGTGCAGTTCTCATTCCAGAATTTTAGCCAGTTCTTGTCTAAAAATAATAATAATAATATAGCTCCAGTAAAATTTATAAATAGTTTTTTAAAAACTAAGAGTAAATACAGATCAATTTAATGCGAGAAATAAAATGTAGCATGGATTTAAATAGGAAAAAACCATAAATGCATCATTTTGGACCTAAAGTTTTAAAAGTTAACTTTTCACTAAAGTTAAACTGTCACCAGTTAATATGACTTTCAATTAAGTAATTTTTTAGATTTACATTTTAGTTTTAGTCCTGCCAAAAACACATCCATGATCATTCCTGTTATTATGCAAATAACTTCCTTATACTCTCAATAGTGGATCCATATGGATTTTGGGGCTGTGTTGATTAGAGTCTGTTCTGAGTTGCTGGTTCTTTCCCATGCGTCTCAGAAGTCCATGTATAGTGTGGCAAGCAGGTGGAACATTCACAGCAGCACACAGAGAAATTATACAGTGGTTGTATGGATAGAAATGGTTTCTTGCTTTTTATTAGGCTGTAATTTTACCAATCCTTTTGGTCTAGACTTCCTTACAATAGCATTGAATAAGAGCTTGCAGAAGTCTGTGTAGCATCCAGGCAGAAATCTTGCTGTACAGGTTGTACTTACTGAAAGAGTTAATATCTGAAAAAGTTTTCAGAGTATCCTCAGGGCTTGCTGGATTTAGGTCTGGTTTTCAGCAGACAGTTCAGGAAACAATTTTATGTTAACAGATGATGTGCCTGAAGGTAGCATTGAAGAATGGGCCCAGGGATGGAAAAATACAAGACCTCATACCACACCAGAAGTTTTTTCATCCTTTACACAATTGGAGCTGCCCTCCTAATTATCTCAATCTGGGCCAGGTTAATTGGAGCCTTCCAAGCCGTGATTCAGTCTCACACGTTTTCTACATCTTTGCTAATTAAGACAATTTTCACCCTTTATAGTTGCTTTAGTATTCAGAGCAGTTTGCCATGGGCTAATTATAATCATCGAGTGATGGCTTTAAAATTTCATGTTTGTGATGACATTTTATCACATTAAATTGGAATCCCATAATGCTTCTTGAGCTATGATAGACATGGAGGTCATCTCTCTTCTGGAATTTATCCACTGTGTGATATTGTGCTGATAATGGGCATTTTCTTTCATAACCATTTCAATCTCTCCTACTCTTCAGCTGAAGACATTCAGCTGATTCCAGCAGAACACAAAAACACTGAGTTCAAGATCCAGGGCACAAGCCCTTTGCTTTCATCCTGTAGATGCTCTTTCTTCATGTGATTTGAGAGAAATCCCAGGTATGGAGTCCTGAGGGGCTGGAAGGAAGAAGCCAAGGCAACATATTCTTCTCATCGTTGATCCTCCATTTCCAAATCCTTGGCATTTTAAGAGCTTTGTCACTGATGTGGTCTGGAAAGTCTTTGGTCCCCTTGAGTTGAAGGAGCAAGTAGGGGAGCTCAGTCTCATCACGCAATCATTGTTTCTTGCAATCAGTGCTACAGCACAGCTTACAACAGCTTGTCCCTGCTACTCTGTGAAGGTGAAGGCTCCTGCAGGTGCTCTCAGGGGCACAGTTTACTTAGACTCCTCCTGCAGTGTGCAAGGATTTACTGGATTAAAAATCTGTGCAAACCTGTAGCCTTGCAGAGAGTCTTTCTACACCGAGTAGTGCTGCGATGACGAGAAGACAAGGCAGTTTGCAGGCACAGATGCAGGGCTGTGTCAGCAGAGCTCTGCACTGGAACTCATCACTCCTGCATTGAAACAAGGCTGTCCTGTGAGTAACATACACCAGCACAGCTGTGCTGCTTTCAAAACCAAACTAGTCCCTTTACTCAGATCCTCTACAACTAACACTGGTATCCACAGCCTGGCATAGCTTTACAAGCACAAGCTTACTCACTTTTACCTGTATCTTTCAAGCACAGGCTCACATCCCACTGGTGTCTGTAGGAGAGAAGGGTGTGTTTATGAGCTTTGTTCATGCAGGATTTGAGGAGTTTATTGAACTGTAAGTAGCTGGGTATTTAATTCCCTCTAAGGCAGGGAAAAAAAGAAAGGCCAGTTGCAAATGGGATTTGCTTTGTTCTTGGTTGAGGAAAAAAAGCTACAAAGCTAAAAATGAAATTTAGAAATGCAAAGAGGCAGCCATATCATAACCCTGCCGTTCTTCTTGGCTTCTTGTTAGAACTTTAAATGCTTCTGGATAAGATGATAACATTAAGGCAATAGTTCAGAACAAATCAGAATTTGTTGATGTTCCATCTTTTCAGCTCGTGGTGCTGGAGTCTGTTTTACCAGATTTTCAGATAGACTTGAAAATTTCTATCTAACGTGGGTTTTTGCTGAGGGAAATAGTGTCAAATATAATGATTGAGTCACTATGACCATAAATTTGAAGCTTAGGACTTATGACTGATCGTATACATCAGACTGGTATTTATTCTATCTTCAGATGAGGTAAATATAGCTCATATGAAAAATGCTACTAAGTATCTACTTTTCAGGACTAGTTAATAAACTGTGCACCTGTGGCAATACAGAACTGTATTCTAGAAAACCTCTCCAGGCTCCAGCATTTTCAGAATAATTTCAGTCATGCAGCATTTTCTTTCAAAGGTACTTGCAAATATCTCTCAACAAAGTTCGCAGTCCTAATAATTTTCTCAGAGTGTATCTTAAAAGAAAGCATCTCTGAAGGAGTCCAGAGCCCTCAGAGTATTAGTAAATCTACTGTAGCAGAAGGCAAGGGAAAACTCACTCCCCTTCTACAATTATAATGTCTAACCTCAGCCAAAAAAAAAAAAAAGAAAGAGGAATAGTTCTATTTTTAGAGCTTTAATTTAATTTTTTTTTCCTTTCCCTTCCTGGCAATTATCCATATTTTGGAGATTGCAGTCATTTCTGTTGGCAGGAGAAATCAATAAAGAACTCAGCTATTTCTTCAGCATCCTCCTCTTTCACCTATGAGGCATGTGAAAGACACAGGAGGAAGCAACTTCACAGAAAGCCTCCTCTTTCCCCCTGATTCAAATCAAGAAGTGTCCCATGGGTATTTTTCAGATCTATGCTCCACTCTGGCTGTAGTCTTGGTTATTTTTACAGCTCCACTTTCCTAGTGTGTTCTACAGTTTTCTTATCTGTCCTTCCTGCACTGAGGTTCCAACACCCCAAACTAGTGAAGTCAACCTTTCCACATAGACCCCACGCCCTCTGGATAATGTCACAGGTTTGTGATGGATGGAGATGTTTACGTTGTTTCAACTCCCTGGCTCCATATGTGAGCTGCATATTCCATTTTACTTTGTCAGCCTTTTTTTCCCCTTTCTCACGAGGCATATCATAGAGTCATAGAATGGTTTGGGTTGGAAGGGACTGTAAGGATCATCCAGTTCCAAACTGTTGCCATGGGCAGGGACACCTTCCACTCGACCAGGTTGCTCAGAGCCCCATCCAATTTTGCCTTGAACACTTTCAGGGATGTGGCATCCACAGCTCCTCTGGGCAACCTCCAGTTCCTCACAGTCAAGAAATTCTTTCTAATGACAGTTCTGAAATATGTCTGGAGGTAAAGGGGGTAATTAAAGCAACACCAACAGAAGATCTGATGGTATGCGCTGTAATCAGGGATGGTTGTGCTCAGCCACAACACTGTCCTTGGCTTTTAACCTCTGAGAGCTCCAAATGAAACTAAATTTAAGGTTTGATATTTACAGGCAGTTCAGACTGTTGCATCTATAAAGTACTGTGTTACATCCACCAGGCAAAATAATTAGTCATTCACTGAAATCCTTTTTTCCTGCTATCAGCAGTGTTTCAGCTTTTGCTGTAAATTTTTAAGATTATTATTAAGATTATAACTGTGATCATAAAAATGCAGTTACACTGGAACATATTTCCCATCCATATTCAGCCATAGAGATGATAGACAACTTTCTAAATGAAAAGGTATCCATTTCTGCACTGTGACGTGAAAACTCTTCCCCTATCAATTTGTACATGGATGGAATACAAATAAAGGTGATCTCATTTTTTACTGGCATCCCTATAATGGAAAAGCCTCAGTTTAAAGAGAATGTAATTGGTAACAACTGACAGCTTGGTAGCATATGAATTTTGTGTACTTCTGTACATTATTATTCACTCATTTTTCAAGCATTTGATTTGGCCCCTGACATTCAAACACTGGTGGTCCTTCTTTCCTTAAAACTTCATTGGGACATTATACAGCAAGGTCTCTAAATAGTTTTACCATATCATTTTGGCCAACCTGTTATAAATAGCTCATCTCTTTAGCATAAATTTGCACTCATGTTCTCAATCAGCCAAGTTTCTATTTTTAATTCTTATGAGAAATTCCCCGAGGGACAGTTCTTTTAAGACTGCAGAACTGTAAGGGAACTCCTGCTCATAAAATCTAACAAGGAGTCCCTTGACAGCTCGTTCCTGAAAAATGTGAATAATGTGCTGACTTGCTAAAAATAGATGTGGTTGAACCAAAATACAAGTTTTGATGTAACAGAAACCCCCTTGAAACACTGCCAAAAGTATGAGCAACCTCCATAAAGACTAATAACCCAATCTCTACAAAAGTCAGGAAACAAGGTAGAATTTTTAAGAGATTCCTAAAGGTGGTGCTTGGCTCCCTATTGAGGCTCAGTGCTTAGGATTTTTTAAAAATCTAGCAAAAATGTACTTTTATCATTGTAAAGGCTTTGAAAAGCCTGGCTGTACAGCAGCTTTGAGATTGCCTTGTTAGTGGAGCTCCCCAGACTTCAGAACTTCAAGAAGCCCGTTTTTCAGAGCTTGTACTTTCATCACTTTTGTACCCAGTAAGGGACATCTAATCAAGCACTTAAAAATCCTTAGACATGATTGAATATCCTGGCCATCCTCGTGCTAATGGGAGAACCCAAAAAAATGTGAACTTGCCTAGAAATAAAACTAGAAATAGAACCTTGAAATAAACCAAATAAGTTTCACTGCTTTTGAAAAGTGTATTGCAGAAAGAAATGGGAAGCAAAGCCAGTTAAAAATGTATTAATCTTCTAAAAAGTCATTCATTTTTAATAATGTAAGGTACAGGTTCCACTATTGATTCAGGGAGAGTCAACTTAAAGAAGCATTTTTAAATCCTGCCAGAATACCTTTGATGTCTCAACCCTCTACCTTCAACAGCACAAAGGAAAAGCTCAGTACTGTTCCCTAGATCCAGACAGAGACTCATATTATATAGAGCTGACCCACTTGCATGATCAGCTCCTCAAAAACAATGTCTGTATTCTGCAAGATAAATCCAAGCAAAAAATGAATTCTATTTAATCACAGTTTAAGTGCTAAAATTGAAAATACTTTGGGAAATGTGCCAGACAGTTCTGTGGAAATTGCATGTAGGTGGAGGAGAGGCAAGGGATGTACATAGTTGAAAAGGAAGCAGAAAACCTCTACAAACAAAGTTTTTTTAATATTTAGGCAGCACATTGCCCTTCTCCCCTCTGTTCTACAGGTGGTCTGAACTGCCCTGGCATGTCTCAGGTCATACAGAACTATTTCAGAGATCTCACTGATGATTTGAGAGCACTCATCTTGAGCCATAATCTTTGGATTAGAACTTAAAATGACAGAGTTGCTTATCTGAGAAATGAATCATATCCATACTGTCATTTAGGTCATTATAAAGTGGAAACAGCCTGGATCTGGGGATTTTGTTTCACTCACTGCACTATTTGGGATTTGGTGTAAAACTGTGCCCTAATACGGTTTGTGCTTCTGTTTTGAAGTTTGGGAACAACTGTACCTGAATGCTTGTTGTCAGAAACTGAAAACCATGTAAATAAGAGCAGAACAAAGACTGTCAAGTCACTGAGCACCTTTCAGCTGAGTAAGCCAGGAAATAGAATGATTTTTCCCTGTGACTAAATCTTGATAAAGTTTAAGCAGAGCAAAGCAAAATAGGATCTTACTTTCTAATTAGATAAAGTTGGCAGAAGAGACAAACTATTTCTACACCAAAGGCATCTACCAAGAATATATTGTTATTGGCATCTAATTTATAATTAGCTTTATAAACAAAAATCCTTGAAAAATTAGGGAACTGTGCAGATCACAGGGATCTGGGAAACTTAACACCACAATAAATGCATCCACAAGGCTGTCAGGAATGGCAGAGAGAAAACTTGTGATGTGGTGTATTGCTCTTGGATAATTATGTCCAGGTACCATTAATTTCTCTGGGATCAATAAGAACAAAAGAATTCAGAATTTCTAGAGTGTGTGAGGAATTAGATTGGAGGCTTTAGATAAGGGCATATCAGAAATTTCTTTTTATGTCATCTTAGTAGCTGACAGATTGACATTGCTAGAAATATAATTCCTTGATGTAGCCAGAGCAGTGATAAAGCGTGAAATGCAAGATAACACAGTGAAAAGTGTATTGAGGAGGTGAAGGGAGATACAGTAGATAGCAACAGAATAAGAGGAAATTGTTAGAGTGTTAATCTGCATGAGCAGCTTCTTGAAGGAGTTGTAAGGAGCTGTGCTAAGTACACTGAATTATTCCATCCTGTCATGGATTATGTCTCTTTGAAAGATATTCATGTCCTCCTCAGTAGTGCACGTCTCTCTGCTTCAGCACATTGCCCATGGTGTTACCTTTGTGTGTAAGCTTTTGCACGGCTGTAAGCAAGTGGATGCTCTGCTTAACTCTGACACAATGTTGTCCTGGACAAAGCAGGTTTGCTTTGGTACCCTTTCTGGATAGAAGGATACAATTATTTATCTGCTGGCGGTGTGGATACCTGTTGTCCTGAGAGAGGTGTGTAAACACCTTGTGTGTGTATTTGCAAGCGGTCAAGGACAATTGTTTGCTCAAAGAAGTGTTGAGAGTTAGGTTTTTCATGTATGATAGGTTTACCATCCTGGCCCCTCCAACCCAAGCCTTTCTGTGATCACATTGCACTCAGCAACATATCCTATCAAGTTTTCTCTATGTAAATTTGAAACAAATGTCAAACAATAGAGTAGCCACAGGTAGGGAGACTCCTTGGTTGAGCTGTTATCAAATTCTCAAGGCAGCGGTGGAGTTTCTGCTGCCCTTGGGGCTGTTAATCACGAGCAGAGCTGGTAAGATTCCCCAAATCACACACAATAAACTGACTCCTCAACATCAGCTCAGCGTTAAACCCCATTTGCTGGTATTTTTTGGTATGATGAAGAGTTTTTGTGCAAAGGTCTATTTCTCCACCATATGTTAGTCTGGCTCTACAGCCAAATGGCACATTTCAACGGGGGGGCAAGGTGGGGGATCTATAAGTCTCCCTTAAGAAGGGGAAGCATTGAATCCTGGGGGAATTCTGTTGGCATTGAGGAAGAGGAAGCCCAGCTTCGAGCCAGTCAGGATACTGAAACCACAAGGCCTAAGAGGAGGCAATGTGCCATGACAGGGAAATATAGTTTAATATCCCAAGGACAAGAACTGAAAGAATTTGAGTAAGTTCAACAAACTGAAACAGTATTTTGAGGCGAAAAACATTAAAATGCTTCATCCCATTTCAGACACACCAAAATGAATAATTTATAAATCCATCTATTTCAGGATTTAGGAATATAATTAATAACAGTAATTACTAAATAGTCAAAACCAACTGTAAAATCCAGCTTTTCAAGCCATTTGTAAGAAAAGCCAGTGTTAATAAAGTATCATTTTCCAAGGACAAGAAAGGGGGTTGTGCTGAACCATTAGTTGTGCTGCAGAGCTCGCAGGGCTCTGCTGTCTGGGATCTCTTGAAACAAAAGAACCCAAAGATTGAACCAA